TCTTTTCTATTAAGTTGGGATAGATTCATTTCTGACTTTTAAAACCTCTGTTTTGGAACATTTATTTTATGTGAAGTGGACTCCTTTGTATTCTTATGCTTTATCTTGCTGGTTCTGCAATGGGGGCAGAAAATCTGCACTCACCTACCTCTGACCTAACTCTGCTGGCCCACAGTTTAAGACTGCAGTACACCCAATAAAGAAAAATAACACATACTTTTAAGATAGCTATTTCAATAAACTGATAGCCTGCAGGACTAAGAAAAAAGTGATGCTTTAAAGGCAATCTAGGGGCTTCTCATTTAGACTTTTCTTGTATCAATCAAAACCTTTTTCTGATGTGTCTATCGTGCGAAGTGGTTAGAAGCTGCTGAAGTAAACAAAATGTGGGTCTGTTCTCCATTATTGTAATTTGCAGATACCCTGTGACTGCTTAGAGAGGATGGCCCAAGGCTTTTAAAGCTGTTAATGACATGAAGAGAGGCCAAGAACTGTCTTTATTTGCAACATATAAGTGTATTTTAAAAAATAAACCAGAATGTGTGAATCCTCAAACAGTTGCCATTTGCATTAGTTTTATACAGTGAGAATTTTTTTTTTAAAGGTACAGATTTCTCACCAAACATTCATTGGACTAGTTAAACATTTGGAAGCATTTTCAAGAGGTGTCACCACTATTTAAAATATTGGTTTTCATGGCTGGTCCAAATGAGAGTCAGGCTTTGCACTATGTGAAACTTGGTTCCCTTTCATTGATTTCTCAATGTTCATAAATTCATTAAATGTTTGATCATCAAATTCCATCTCTTTTCTGCCTCTTTCATGTCAGAAGGAGCACCTGTTCCCAAACAATGAATTGGCAGATGGTGTAGTAAGTACTGCCCCATATTACAGCTAGGGGAATTAAGTAAGAAGGCAAACAGAATGGAAGGTGTTCAGGATTAGAAATAAGGGAGAGGGGGTTTCTTATCTTGTCCTTTTTTTTTTTTAATTATTCTTTTTTTAGTTAATCTTCTGTTATAAAAGTAGAGTTGTGAATCCTAAATACTAAATGTTGAATTTTGGGACAGTTTGGGACTGTGTAACAGCTCTGCACATGGACATCAAATACACTGTAGCTGGTACTGCATCTGCTGTACATGCAGATTTTATCCATGTATGCACTGTGCCATTTTCCCAGCTTACTAGGCATCTGAAAAACAGCCTGCTTTCAATGAAAATATGTGGAAAGCCATGTTCCATATGCTTTTCATATGAGACACAAGACTTGACTGTGTAATATTGGACATCCCCTGGTACATGGGACACCTGCCAAGCTCAGCAGAAAGAAAAGATACAGGCAAGAGAATAAAACCAGAGGAATAAATGATTTCTAAATCCTTATTCTGTTTCTAATTTTTATATTCTACTCTGGTCTCAGCTGTTACAGTCACCTTCTAACAATGTATCTGAGCTGGAATAGCCATGTATTCTGTACTTTAAAATCCTTTGTGGTCAAAACTTTAAAATGTTTAATATGCATAAATGAATGACAGATTTTCAGAGGTTCTCAGTGTAGGCTTAGAGTCTTCCAAAAATCCTAGTATGTCTCCCTTTGTATCTTTAGGTAAGAATGTATCTCTGATCTATTAGCTTGGAAAAGCATAAGAGCATTTCAATATGTTACATGCATGAGTAATTTAGATCGTATTTGAAATGTAAATGGCAGATGTTATAAATTTGCTAAACAGTTTTGGGGTAAAAATTAAGTCTTACCTTGTTTTGAGCCATACTAGTGTTGCCAATTCTTAGGTTACTCAGCCATTTTGGTCTGCTACATCCTAGATTGTGAACTAATTAGATTAAGAAAAAAAATATTGTTTCAATTTTGGGGAAATAGTTCTATTCCTCATGGTTACAGAAGCATGAAAATTTTACTCTGCAAAATGGCAATAGAATGCAGCAAATAAATAAAAAACATAATTTTTTAGCATGATTTTGGAAGCCAGGATCCTGATTTCTGTGCAGTTCAGTTAGCAGTCCTAGACATCTGAATTCCCCTGAAAGTCCCATTGTAAGACCTTCCTTTCACATCTCCAAAATGTGAAAGTAAATACTGATAACATCAACTTATTTGACTTTGCTTTTGAGACTTTCTTTTCTTGTATCTATTTATACATCTAGTACTGTTAAACCCAGTGAGAAACAAGTCCTCTCAATACCTTTGATGCTGTGGAAAACTTCAAATTAAATTGGAATTGGGTGTCCTGCCTACAGTATGATCCACAGTCACAGGTTTCACTTACTAAAACATACTGTGGCTGTTAGTAGAACTTTTATAATATGCAGGCTAATTCATGTGGAGGATTTTTTTTAAGCACTTCAACTCCCAGTCTAACAGAAGGAATCATGAGAATATTTACCTTCATTTATAATGGTTTAAATATTAACTACATTACAATAGATGGCATAAATCACCTACTTGGCATTGTCTCACTTTATGTACTAGGTCAAAAAAGGTACTAACAGGCCATCACTTTCTGCAAGTCATATGCTGCTTCTCCAATATTCTGATACTCTACCGCTGTTAGTTTTCCTGTGTTACATCTGTGAAACTCAGAATAATCCCTATATTAATTTGATACATTGCTACAGACAAGAAAGAAAGGAACTTTCATATATTCAGGATGAGAACGTAAATTACTATTTTTATTTAATAAAGATAGATTGTTGAGCCTGGCACTAATTTTATCCTTTATTACCAGTGAAGACATGAGAACTTGAAGTACATCCTGCTTCCATACCAGGGAAATTGGCTCAAACTGGAAGGAGGAAGACATAGTGTCATTTTTTTGTGGACTGTGTCCTTTAAATGTTAGTTTACAAAGGCATTCTGAGTCAAAAGGCCAATTTTATCCAAAAGTTGTTTTTTAAGATGTAGTACATTCAGACATACATAGCCTATGCAGACAAAATAGCCAAGATGAGTTCCAAAACCTGTTGGACTTTATGGGCACATCTGATTATTGCTCAGGAACCCATTCTGGGAAGGACCCCCACATACCTGTGTGGTTTCTCTGGCTGATGTCCTTATATATGCACTTGAGCACAGGGTCATGTCCTGCAATGACTTACAAATAACCTTTAGCACCACACTAGCTGCTAAAAAGAATTCTGTTGTAGCTACATAGCTAATTCTCTGGTATAAAAATCATTGTCTGTAATTCCTTTTTACCACTCTGTAGTCTTGCTTACACCATGATGACCTCATATATCTCACTAGTAGGATCCTGATGCCTTCCATACACTTTGGTCACAAACTTTTCGCTGGTTACTTTGCTTGCAATTTTGATGTATGACACCAGTTTTCTCTCTGCATTTAATTGGTTTGGACAACATGGAAATGAAAAATGAGTGAATGTAAATTTTTTTGCTAAAAGAAGGTGCTAAGTGTTGACAGGATGGCTGATTCCAGCCGAGAATTTTCTGTGCAATATAAACATAGAATACATTTCATAAACCTAAACTGCAGTTTTTGTTTGTTTACTTTTGGGTTTTGTTCCAAGTTTCTTGAGAGGACATGATCCTTAAATGAAAAGAAACACTAGGATGTGTTTCCATATACTTATATGGGAAATACTGTGATAACAAGGTACCAGAAGAGCAAGCAAGCCTGCAGTAAGGAAGCTGAACTTAATATATAGGTAATAAGAAGAGCAGAGTCAGGCCCAGTCATCTTTGCAGCCAATATTCATTGCTAAGAGAAACAGAGGTTTCTGTTGTTCTGTTGATGTAGTTTTGGTAGAATTCTGGTTTGCTGCAATTGTAACACATTCTACTTTTACATTATCATCTTAACTGTAACCTTGCACTTCTAGAAAATCAGCATTTGGGAAAACTGTACTATCATTAAAAAACACAGAGTTTTACTCTGGTCTTTTTTCCATGGTAGAAAAAAAACTGATCGAGTTTATGTGCCTTTGTGGATTTTTTCTCTTCTAGTGATGTTACATTGTGATTGTGTTTGCCTGTATGATTCATTACAAGCTTGCTGGCAGATGGTCGCATACGCTTTGCAAAAGTGTTTAATGTTAATAATCAGCTTTTAGCTTTAATATTTCTTTTCTTGGGATAAGTAATATATATTATCCTAATGCCTAGAAAAATCATGGTTGTTTTAGTCACTGCCATCTAAATACTTTTATCCTTCAGTAAAAAAGTTTTCTCTGTACATGTTCAGTATTTCATGAGTGAAACATTGTATGTATAGATGGTAATGCAGAAAAATTAGTGTTCCATCTTTCTTATATGAATGAAATGGAAGAGTGAGTGATTCATGAGACCAATATGTGCTAAAAAACCTCCTGGTTTCTGCACATCAATGATTTTTTTGTTGGTTAAGCCATTCAAGCACCATGGGGCCTATATACCTAAAGCTTCAGCAATCATGCTTTGTATTGCTTGAATCTCACACTTGTTATGGTGGAAGGATATTGCTCATGTATATTTTATTGCATAACAGTAAATCAGGCTTCTATGCAGTGTTTATCTGTAATGGTTAAAATGCTGTCAGTCCAAAATACATTCCATTTATTTCAAAGGTGAAATTGTAAAGAACTACTTCTATGTAGCGCAGTAAAATGTGTTTATCAAGAAATGTTGTTTTATAAGAGGAAAAATTTATTGGATTATGTACCCTTATCATTATAATTTATTTTAAATAGTTCTAGATGGAATAGCTGAATAAGCCAAAATATGGTGCAACTTTGTGGAGATTCTTTATGTTGGGAAGGTAAAATTTCTAGTCTAGCAGTTTTAGTGGAGACAGCTGTTGAGATGTTCTTGTTGGCTTTTGTTTATTATAATTGTAGTACACTATATCCAGACAATAAAATTAGTTGTAAATCTGACTCCCTCAAAACAGTGTCATGCAATGGTTCCAGCAAAAGTGAATCTTAGTAATTTAATTATAGTTCCCTTATTTTTAATAAATTCCTTGCTGTTTTTTCATTTATTTATAGGCAAAAGGTTGTATTGCAACTCTATTCATGTTCTTGGAAGAGCATATGAAACTCAAGTCCATGACAAGGTTTCTACAGTGTAGGATCACGGCCTACAGACCAGATAAGGTATTTTTATGAATGGAATTCTCAATTACATCTCCTGAGAGCATTAGAATGTATATTTTAGCTGATACAGCTCCCCTTCTCAGACACTTTCGTTTGTCTAAGGCACAGTCTTAACGGCAGCATTCTGTCCTCCAAAATCGAGGCTGAAGTAATTCACAGATAATACGGAGAAAATACTCCATGAACCTATGCCAAATCTCATCCTGCTAATCTTAGTTTCACTGATACAATGGGCTCCTTTGATTTCTAATTCCCATACCTTTGCTCGAAAAAAAATTCAATTTTGAAATGTATTCATAAGATAGTTGCCGAACCAAATTCCAACTTCAGCTGATTTATTTTGCATTTTTTTAATTTCTTTTTCTTGTGGGTATATATTTTTATATATAGACATACTTCTGTACTTGTTATTACTGTTTTGTGATTTATTATGTGTTGATGAGATTCTATTATTATGTGTTGATGATATTGTAGACCTTGGGGGATTTTTCAAAGAAAAGAAGTTCCACTGTCATGTTTTTCTTACAGCGATTTATATTCTTGTATTTAAGTTATTTATCAGAAGTATTTAAAAGATCATCTAAATTCATAATTTTAAAAAAGTATTATTTAATATTTGCCCAAAGTTGGTCCCAGAGGCTGCAATCATGAAAGAGCCTCACTTTGCTAGTTAGTATATTACTATTACAAAGGTAGTATTTATTCATTATTTTCCACTGAATATAAAACCAGACTTTGCATCCAAATGCATTGTACAAATTCAAAACAAAAGATAGTGTCTGCACTAGGGACCTTTTAAGCTACAGAGGAATACTTCCATCCTTTTTTTTTCCCAGTCTGACTGAAAGGTCACATTTTACCCATATTGCATCCTACCAGATTTATTTGTGGCCTGGGGCTTTATCAACTTCATTTCAAGCAGAAAACTCTGGCAGTGGTTGACATGACAGACTTTTACCTGTGGAGCTTATTTGAGGCAGCCTGATTCTGCTGACCCTCAAAAGTCTTTGCTGTATGGCATGCCTACTTTTAAATCTATTGTAGAGAGAGAAGTTTATTGGGAATATGCCTGAGGGATGGGAATTTTATAGGTAGTCTGAATGGGGTGGATTTTTGTTGGCTGTTTTAACAGTAACTGTTAATTAATATCTAACTTTTAAACTTGTTAGTTTTGGGCAATCCAGGGAAAAAGTGTAAAAATTTTGTGTAGCACTAACTTTTAACTCCCTAAAATGGAAGGAAATAAACATTGCAGAATTAGCTTAAAGGGGTCCTTGCTAGCATGTTAAAACTGAAAAACTTGTCCCAAAATTTTACTGATATAACAAAAGTTTTGCCTAGCCTCATAGATTCCTTCCCGAATCAAGGTACATTTTAAGTGTCTGAAACATCTGAAGTAGATTGAGCTGGTTGCTCACGTAGGAGATGCTGAAGGACACACAGTGGTTCATCTGACATGAAGTTCAACAATGTTTCTTCTTAGGTTATTGTGGTTTTTTCCTGATATTTATAGAATCATAAATCATAGAATGTTTTGGGTTGGAAGAGACCTTAGAGGTCATCGAGCTTCAACCCCCTCCAGCATGGACAGGGACACTTCCTTCCATTAGACCAGGTTGCTCAGAGCCCCATCCAACCTGGCCTTGAACACTCCCAGGGATGAAGCATCCACAACTTCTCTGAGCAACCTGTTTCAGTGTCTCATCACCCTCACAGTAAAGAATTTGTTCCTAATATCTAATTTAAACCTGCCCTTGTTCAGCTTAATGCCATTCCTTCTTGTCCTATCACTACTGCCCTTGTAAAAAGTCTCTCCCCAGCTTTCTTGTAAGCCCCCTGTGGGTACTGGAAGGTGCTCTGAGATCTCCCAGGAGCCTTCTCCCAGGCTGAACAACGTGAGTTCTCTCAGCCTATCTTCGCTGGAGAGGTGCTCCAGCCCTTTGATCATCTTTGTGGCCTCCTCTGGAATTGCTCCAAAAGATCCATGTCCTTCTTATGCTGGGGGACCCAGAGCTGGATGCAGCACTCCAGGTGGGGTCTTATGAGAGCAGAGGAGAGGGGCAGAGTCACTTCCCTCAACCTGCTGGTCACATTGCTTTTGATGCACCCCATGTTATGGTTGGCTTTCTTGGTTTTCTGGGCTGCAGGCACACAATGCCATCCAATCTCCTATTGTGTGCTTTCCCCTAGAGCATGACACCAGTGTTCTGGAGCTGCTGGCTTATTCTCAACCAACACCCACAAATCATTCTCCTTTTTTGGTGAGATCATTTCTCAAATTTAGGATTTTTCCAAGATTAACTGGACTATTTCTATTTTCATGCTGTCTTTGGAGGGTGTTGCAGAAGTAGTAGTGGTTCTTTTATCAGAAGTTTTCCACATCCTCTATTGGCTTCAACCATTTACAGTGCATGTTTTTTCTACTGCATTTCAGATTTGTCTAGAAAAAAAGCCTGAGCAGCTGGCTAGGATTTTAACTGCATATACTGGAGAACTTACCTTTAGTTTATAAGAAAAAGAAGCAGTGTTTTCCACAAAGATACAATGTGCACATGAACACCTGTTAGCAACAGTTACTTTAGTTACTCAAAATTACATTTGTCTGACTAATTATAACTCCTATTATAATGTTATTTTAAGTTTGAACTTCTGCCTTGGTAAATCAGCACTTCCATTTGTATGATTAAATGAATTTAGGAAAGAAACCACATACATTGTCAAATATAGGCTGTATTGTACCTAACCAGACAATTATATTATGTTGTGTTTGCAGGTCTGGTGTTTAATTTTTCATGGGAATTTGTCTTTCTCATGGTAATTGCAAATGAAGTAGACAGAAGTCTTTCATACGGAATCTAAACATTAACAAAAACTGAAAACTAAGGAAAGAGGACATTGTAAAGGATTCTTATTGCTCTTATCTTGTAAATCATGTTGAGGAAAACATAGGAATATTTTCATTAAAAAAAAATTCAATTATATGTCAGAGAATAGTGTATTACAAGTATTCTAAAAATATTTTTGAATCACTTCACAAGGTTGTATTACATTTGCGTGGCATTAGAGTAATTGATTATTACCTTTAATATCTTTCATGAGACACTATTAGTGGAAATGCTGTTATCCATGTTTCATCTCAGAGAACTGCATTCCATAATTAAGTGCACTTAAAAAGCCAAATTAAACTGAATGAACAAAGTAACCAGTAAGGATGTTCTCTTGAGCATTCATTCTTACCATGATGAATGATGCTTGTTTTTCTCTTCTCTTTAATTAGAATGTTTCTACATTTGCCAAAGAAAATGTTGGAATGTGGACAAAAACTGAAATTATAGGAACGGAGTTTGATGTAATAGCTTATTTGTAAAGGAAACACAACTTGTTTGGTATTTTATTGAAACAGGAAGTTCAGAACCTCAGTACACACAAGCACAACAAATTCTCAGGTGCTAGTTGAGTCATCTGTTGTTGGAAGTAGCCTCATAGAAGGTTTCCCCTTGATTTAGTTTTAATCTTCAATTAACAAAGGGAAGGAAATTACAAACAGATTTAGTTTTAGATTATGTGCAAAGCTCTCTGTTGCTTTTTAGCTGTCACCCTGATGTGCATGCTTTGTGACTATCTCATGCTGGCACTACCAGAGTGTGTCTGAGTGAATATATTCAGCTTTTAATGAGCAGAAGAAACCTGATGTGTTAATTTCATTTATGAAATAATATAAAACTTACTTACTCAAAGTACTCTTATTTTTCCTTCTTCTAGTCATCTCATACCTGATTTCAGCTTTACTGCAAACTGGAAAAGTAATCAGCTGTGATAAGGTTGTAATTGATAAAACTACTGTTTTTAGTATGGGATTATTTAATGTTTAATTGTCATATTTGTTTGTAATAAGAGGTCTGTTATATAGCAGAACAGAGTGTGATGATACCATGTAGTTTTGTTTAACCGTGAAATCTTTAAAAAACAGTTTGGAGTTTATGTGAATATCTTCTCTTGCACAACTTAGCTTTTCCCTTCCTTCAAAGTCTGCATGACACTGGCCATCTTTGAATGAGAAGGATTTTATTGAATTCCCTCCAAATCCCATCATTACTGTTCCTCTGTTTAACCCCAGGAGTATTCCAGTGTTGTGCAGTAAGTTCTTTCCTCCATCAACAGTCTGAGCAATGATGGTTTTATAGCTCTCCCAGTACCAGTCCATAGCATAAGGACAAATGCATTAGCACTTTAACCGATAATGCAATTTTGAGAAAAAATTCCATGGATAGCATTAAAATTATCATGTTAGCTCCTCAATTTTAAAGTTAATAGAATTTTAAAATAAAAACAGACACGAGTGCACAGAGTGTGCATTTTTAAACTTTTGCCCTTATGCAGGGATAGCTGTATTAGGTTCTTTTTCCTTATTCTCTGTGTATATACTTTAGTATAGTATGTGTGCAAGCAACAGTACCTTCTGTTACATCATGGTAGTTTACACTGTTATAGGACTAAAGCTGTATTCCTGATACACTCACCTTATTCCTACTGATTTTAGTGGGAATTCTGGACAGAGCCAGATATAGAAAATATTTATTTACACACTTTTACTAGAAAACTAGTTTGCAGGAGAGGAGTTACTGAGCATTTGTATTTTATCTAAGCTATCCAGATGCTTGACTAGAAAATAACTAGTAATCTTGCTTGTAGATCATGACTGTTTCTGTGCTTCAGAGTATTTATCTTGCATTTAAGCTCAAATCCCAGTTGCTCATATTTTATGTACAGTATCGGCTTAGTATCCTTTGGTTTTCAAATTGCAACTGCTTGCTTATGCAAGGATTACCTCTTGAAAAGGCTTTTTGCTTTCACTAAAGTTAAAGCACTTCAGGAAAAATCCAGACAGACTAGAAAGTAGTTGCCTCTCTGTCCTGCACCATTCTTAGATGAAGAATGGTAGGAATACAGGAAAGGAACTAAGAAAGGAGGACAGGGTCAGCAGCTTGACCCTACAAACT